ATCCAAAAGCCTGTCTGTTACTTCTGATCTGCTTGCTGCGGTTGCTGTGAGGGCTGCTTTGGAAACTTGGGGTTCCTCCTCCGGGAATTTCCCTCCTTTTCCTCTTGGCCTTGTGGTTAGGAAGCCTTTGCTGAAGGAATGGCCTCCCTCCTCCGTGTGTTGATCAGGTCTGCCTCCTTCACGAATGTCAGAGCTGTCGTATTCCATTCCGGGAGGCATAGCGGGGCAAAAGCCGTCAACCGTGGGTTCTGAGATGCTGGTCTGAAACCGAAGATGCCAGGAGGTAGGTCCTCTAAGAGTGATAAAAACCACCCTACCTCCCATATGTCTCCATCTTAAGCTGTCTACTCGATGGATACCATTGTGAGGGCCAATATCTCCTCTGCTCTTTTGGAATTCCCTGCAACCATCAGGTCTCCTATGTGCGCCAGCATCCATATCACCAGACCTAGATCTCTCTGTCCTCCTCCGAAACCTCCTTGGCGCTCGAGGTACTTTGTGAAAATGGATTTGCCCTAAAAGGCTTGCAGGCTGGAAGGCGCTGGCTTGAAGGCTTGAACCTGTGATAGGCACTCCTCGTCTCGCGGCCAAATCCTCCAGCATCTTTTCCCTTTTTACAGACCCCTTCAAGGATAAGCTTGTTAAGGATAAGCTTCCTAGGTCGGGAAAACCGTCCTAAGAGGCAATGTGTGCCACCAGGGTCGTCAAGGCCTTTTGTTGAACCCAAAGGGAGTGAGCATCCTGGTCGGAAGGGTCATGGTCGGAAGGGTCTGGGGGAGGAATCTCCTCTTCTAGCAGGCCATAAGGTTCGTCCTCTGGGGGCATCGTGACTTCCTGTCCCGGAACGGCTCCTGCACCGGACTCTGGGGGCGGCCCAATCTCCCTGAGGAATGTTGCAAGGCCCATTGCTTGCTGCATCTGCTTGGGTATACTGAAATCCTGCTGATGTGGGGGCTTCTTTGAAGGGGGCCCTCCAGAGCTCATGAAGGTTTCGAAACGTGCTTCGTTGTTCTGGAGTGCCTGAAATTATGAAAATATAGCAGGGATGGCCTGAGCCAGAGCAGTTAATTACTCGGACAGTTCTGCAATAGTAACCTTCTTCTGCGGGTTCGTCTTTGTTTTGGCTTTGGTTACTAGATGGTTGGGTGACGGAATTGTGGTTGGCAATAGGAACTCCTCTCCTCCAGAATAATAAAGCACCCTATCCTCCTGTGACTCCTCCAGCCACGCCACTGCTGCATCCAACAAAGCTATTAACGCCGAGAAGACATCGATGTCGGCAGCAAAGGGCAAAATTCCTGTCATGTCCGTAACAGGATCCATCTACCTCATATTTCCTAGAATATCTGCATCAAAATCCACAAACACAAGGGTATGCTCCGTTCCCAAAGGCCGCTCTACACCATCTTCCATCTCCATTACTGCATCTCTTCTCACAACCTTGCTTAGCCCAATCAAGTCCGCAGCCGAAATAGGGGCAGTTAAAGAAATCAAAGTCGAAGGCAGAGCACCTTCGGGAATAGCCATCAGAACACCACTCCTTCTGATAAAGATGGGGATGCACATAACTTCTCTGGCTTCCATGGTTTCCCCATGAGCTTCCAAGGCCGGCAAGTTCAACACGTAGAGGAAAGTAGTTCTTTGGTCCAAAGTCTTCAAATCTGCCAGGCTTTGAGGGACATAAGATGTGTCCTTTGTTATCATTACTCTGTTGTTGCAGGCAAATCGATGCCAATCGCAAGGCAATATACCTTGGCCTCACAGACTGAGCCCTCAGTGACACGAGGGAGCACTCGGAAGTACTCGGAGGCAGTGACACACCTGCAGGGCTTTGAAAGTCCAGGTACCCTAAGGACCACGTAAACCTAAGGCCTGATGGACAGCTTTGGGGTTAGGCGTGGCTTTGGCACTCGGCCTTCAAAAATTGCTTTGGCCCAAAGGCCGGTCTCCCAAGGTGGGGCCGTCCTCCTTCTAGATTCCTCTAAATTAGAGCCCACACGAGCACAAAGCTCAAAAGCCACCTAGGGAAACCCAGCAATCCTCTCTCCAGGGGCACCAGGAAACAGCGGCAGCTGGTCCCCCGGAGCCACAGAAGAGACCTGATCCCAGCCAATGGATTCAGAGTATGGGGTGGAGCCAGGATTCCCAGAAGATTCAGCCTGAGTAACAGCAATCTTCAGGGATGGAGCAACGGCCTGGAGGGCCAGGGCAGCAGATCTAATCGAGTCTGCAAGAGAAGGCTGAGCGCTCATGAAGATACGCCCGCAGGCGTGTGGTAGGAATAATCTGTGGTGCAGCAGCTGGTGGAAGACGGAAGGATGTGCCAAGGAAGTGAGGGGCAAGGAGAAATCCAAGTCCAAGAAGAGTGGCCACAATTCCAAGTCCAAGGCCGGAGCAAAAGATAACAAGAAGGTAGGGACCTAACACCGTACAATAAGCAGGACACACCAAGTCGAACCACTGCGACGACGAGCCAGCAGACAATATCCCCAACCCAAGAATGCATGAGCTTGAGTAACAGCAACGACACTCGAAATTAGAAAAAAAAATATTCATACCAGTAGTACCGCACAAGGCGGTGGCCGAAGTTTCAAAAATAAGAAACCTATACGAGAGGTTGGTTGTTGTAAATCAGGGATAGATTGAGGTTTCCTCTCTTTCTCTCTCTGCGTCTGATTATCTATCTATCTATCTATTTATCTATCGATCTATCTCTCTCTCTTCCATTTAATTACCTATCTATATATCTATCTATCTATCTATCTGTCTGTCTGTCTGTCTGTCTATCTATCTCTCTCTCTTTCATCTGTCTATCTGTCTAGCTGTCTATCTGTCTATCTATCTATCTGTCTATCTGTCTACCTGTCTATCTGTGGCGCAGTGTCATTCAGCGTAATGTAGCGTAGTGCAATGTAGTGTAGTGTAGTGGAGTGTAGTGGAATGTAGTGTAGTGTAGTGTAGTGTAGTGTAATTTAGCGTAGTGGAGTGTAGTGGATGGAGTGTAGTTGTGTAGTTGTAATTGTAGTTGTAGTGTAGTGGAGTGTAGCGTAGTGTAATGTAGTGAAGTGTAGTGGAAGGTAGTGTAGTGTAATGTAGTGTAGTGTAGTGGAGTGTAGTGTAGTGTAATTTAGTGTAGTGTAATGTAGTGTAGTGGAGTGTAGTTGTGTAGTTGTAGTTGTAGTTGTAGTGTAGTGGAGTGCAGTGTAGTGTAATGTAGTGAAGTGTAGTGGAAGGTAGTGTAGTGTAGTGTAATGTAGTGTAGTGTAGTGGAGTGTAGTGTGGTGTAATGTAGTGTAGTGTATTGTAATTTAGTGTAGTGGAGTGTAGTTGTGTAGCTGTAGTTGTAGTGTAGTGGAGTGTAGTGTAGTGTAATGTAGAGAAGTGTAGTGGAAGGTAGTGTAGTCTTGTGTTATGTAGTGTAGTGGAGTGAAGTGTAGTGTAATGTAGTGTAGTGTAGTGTAGTGTAGTGTAATTTAGTGTAGTGGAGTGTAGTTGTGTAGTTGTAGTTGTAGTGTAGTGGAGTGTAGTGTAGTGTAATGTAGAGAAGTGTAGTGGAAGGTAGTGTAGTGTTGTGTTATGTAGTGTAGTGGAGTGAAGTGTAGTGTAATGTAGTGTAGTGTAGTGTAGTGTAATTTAGTGTAGTGGAGTGTAGTGGAGTGTAGTGGAGTGTAGTGGAGTGTAGTTGTGTAGTTGTAGTTGTAGTAGAGTGTAGTTGTGTAGTTGTGTAGTTGTAGTTGTAGTTGTAGTGTAGTGGAGTGTAGCGTAGTGTAATGTAGTGAAGTGTGGTGGAAGGTAGTGTAGTGTAGTGTAATGTAGTTTAGTGTAGTGTAGTGAAGCGAAGCGAAGCGACATCTGAGCCTCCAAAAGTGGAGCGAACCCCTAGTGTTTTTAACATTTCGACTTCAAAATATGCTTCGCGCCACAACGGCGTGCACTTTTTTCGACATCTGAACCTCCAAAAATGGTCCGTACATGGTGTGGTTTGTACATTTTGACTTCGAAATGTGCTTCGCGCCACAACGGCGTGCACTTTTTCGACATCTCAACTTCCAAAAGTGGTCCGACAATGGTGTGTTTTGTACATTTTGACTTGGAAATGTGCTTGGCGCCACAACGGCGTGCAATTTTTCATCTTTCATCTAGCCAGCCGGCTCCGCACCCGCCGCTTTAGCGAGCCTACTTTTCGACCCTCCGGAGCCCCAAATCATTGGAAAAACACAGTGTTTCGCGACTTTCCTACCTTTTCTCGCATCTGCATTTTCTTTCTTCTTACTCTTTCTCTTCTACTCTTCTTTCTTCTAATCTTTCTCTTCTCTCTGCCTCTTCCCTGCTCTGCTTTTCATCTGTCCATAGTGTCGGAAGTTTGACTTCTAAATTTCCTTCGATTATTTAAAATATTATAATTATATTATTTTTTATATTTAAAATTATATTTAATTTACAATAAATCCTAATATATATATATATAATATTAATTATTATAATTAAAACTAAAATATTATTCATTTATTATAAGATTTATCGTTATTTTTATTATCATGTTAATCAAAAAATTGTAGAATTTTGAAATTGTTTTCAATTATTCTAGTATATTCTTAGTGAATATTTTATAGGTAAAATATTATATTTCAACCGCAATTTCAAAATTATTAAAAAAAATGTTAAGAAATATAAAAATTCAAAAAGCTAAAATGTTCATCTTAATTTTCTGCATATTAAAATCAAAAATAATCAGGAATATATTCAAACAATCCTTAAAAAATACGTAAACCTAATGGGTTTGTTAGTATTGTTTTGAAAGAATTAATGAATTTATTTGCGTGTTGCTTGATAACGAAGAGGGAAAATCACGGGGTCTATGCTAATTGCAAATTTCTGGTACCAAATGGTTCTTAATTATTTTGGGCAAATGGTTATATATATACATATATAATTATATAATCATATATATATATGTATTCTCCTATGTGATGTCATCTTCCAGTGAAATATAAGTTGTCTTTTTGTCTGCAATTTCCCCACGTCGTCGACGTTTTTTTGGCGGCAGGGGCTGCTCCTTGGAAAAGAACATGTGAGCATACAACATCATACAACATCATACAACATCACAAAATTAATGAATTCCATCGGTGGCTGGCCGGTCATCTGCGTACAATGTAGGCAACGTGTGTGCTTCAGCCACCCCAGGCCTAGATCCTCCATGGACGCTTGGCTTGTCTTTTCAACTAGGTATGAAATAACGCGAATGTATGACGCACTGTGAAATTGAAGTCATGTATGTTCTGCTATGCGCTTTACTGATTTTACTGGGGGTTTGCACCGTCACAACAGCCCCACTGCGAATTGCAATGCGGATATTGCAAACACATTCAAGACGTGTAGCGTTGCAGAATTAAAGAGGCACCATTCACAAACGCACCAAGGCCGGAAGACGGCATGGACCAGCTCTTGGCCGTCTTAGCGTCAAAAAAAAGTATCTTTCTGCGCCCTCCCGGCTCAGTCCATATTAGACCCAGCCTCGCATGCACTAGAGCGTCCTAACTCAGGAGAAGAAGGGATAGAAGGCCATCCAACTCCGTCACTAAACGTCGAACGTTCACTTCACCATGATCCCTTTCAAGCGGCAATACCTCACACACAATACGGCAATTCCAAAGCAAGGTGCCACTGGCAGGAATATTCGAAGGAAGTTTAGAAGTCAAACTCCCGACAATATGGAGAGATGGAAAGGCAGAGGTGGGAAGAGTCAGAGAAGAGAAGAGAAGAGAAGAAGAGAGAAGATCAGAGAAGAGAAAAAGCCAGAAGAAAGAAGATGCAGGTGCGGGAAAAGGTGGAAAAGCCGCGAAACACCGCATTTTTCCATTGATTTGTGGCTCTGGAGGTTCGAAAAGTCGCCTCGCTAAAGCGGCGGGTGCGGAGCCGTCTGGGGAAATGCGAAATGAAAAAGTGCACGCCGTTGTGGCGCGAAGCACATTTCGAAGTCAAAATGCACCACACCTCACGTTCGGAGCACTTTTCGAAATTGAGATGTGGAAAAAGTGTACGCAGTTGTGGCGCGAAGCACATTTCCTACTACTACTACTACTACTCCTACCACTACCACCACCACCACCACCACCACTACTATATACTACTACAAATACTACAAACACAAATAGAAATGCACATATACTACGCTACATTACTGTAATTACATTACACTACACTAACTGCATTTAATAATTACACTACACTACACTAAGTACACTACAACTACAACAACTACTACTACCACAGGGGCAACTACAATTACAACCACACTACATTACACTACGCTACGCTAGTCACTAATTACACTGCAGTACACTACAACTACAAATACAACAACAACTACACTAAATTACACAACACTACACTACACTAATTACATTACATTACGCCACAACTACAACTGCAACTACAACTACAACTACCACTACATTGCACTACACTATACTTCACTAATTACACTACACTACACGACCGCTACAACTACACTACTTTAAACTACACTACACTAGGCTACACTACACTACACCACACTACAGTACACAACACTACAGTACACTACACTACACTAGTTACACCACACCACAACTATAACTACAACTACAACTGCGTTACACCACACTACATCCAGCAGTTGTGGTCAGTAGAAGAAGCCAGAAACGCCCAGGAATAAGCCAACGACATCATCAAAGGTGCACGACGCAGAGCACTGGACATGCACCCCTTGCCACCCATCGACACGGTCCAAGGTCCAAACAACAAACTTGTAAATACAAGTACTGGCCAAGAGTTGCGGACGCACCATGTCGAGCAAAGACTGTCTGACTACATCTGACTACCAAAGCACACTCTTGCCAACACCGCACATGCCACGCCATTTGTGATTCTTTAACACAATAGATGTTGTGGCCAATGGTCTGATGTTGCACTTGAAAAGCAAACAACCACATGTCCCGCCACTGATCCCATAAGTTGCGATCTGCCGCAAGTGCCACCCCAAGTCCATGATCGCGCAAAAAACGGTGCAACCGAGAAAAGCCGGTGTGATCAGGCCCAGCGCGATACCGGCGCAAGCCATGTCGAAGAGCCTCGGTGTGAACTTCTTGCGGTGACAAAGCACAAGACAAGGGCGAGGACGGCGGCAATATGTGCCCAGCAAGGTTCCAATGTTGCTGCAAAAGTAATACATCCCACAGAGAACTCCACCAACATCGTCCCCAAAACTTGGCAATATGCCGGATGGCCCAAACTGCTCAGCAGACGACCAAGACGGTGAGTTTGCAAACGTAAGACCCACACCAACAAAGTTGCACATTGCATCCGGACCAGGTGTATTTTGAGCAGTGGGCACTAGCGTTCCAATTGCCCATCGAACAGTGGACGTAACCAAGGCATTGAACACAAACGATCGGAAAAAAGGCCACAACGGCCGGCCCCAGAAGGCTATACTGCCAGCATCCGCTTCGATAATTGCCAGTGGCACACCCAAGAATTGAACGCAGGATTCTACTTGAATACCTTCCAAACAAGGTGGCAAAGCAGAGGGCAAGGACCAGCCAAGGATCTTCGACTTGGACACGTTGATTTGCAGCCCAAGGTCTCGCAGTGCAGCAATGAAGCAGGGAAAAAGGCGACGCAGTTGCCCCATATTGCGAAAACAAATGATGCCGTCATTAACGAACCGCAAGGTCCAAAACCCCGCATGTCAACAAGAAAGGGCGGTTCCTCACCAGAGGCGAGCCAGTGCTCGCGCAGCCTTCCACACATGTTGGCCAAAACTCGACTGAAAAGAATAGGAAAAAGACACCCCCCCCTTGCACGCACCCTCTAGTCATCGAGTGCGTCCATGTACTCCCCAAAGAAAAAACTGAAGAACCTGGTGCGTAAGCAAGAAATCAAGGAAGCGAGCGCTAGTTGCAGCGGCTATGCATGAACATCTGCTTGGCCACCCACACCGCTTCGGCTACTTGACCACCACCTCTGCCTCCCATCATGTCTGGTTGGTTTGGCCAATCGGCCACCACCCAGGCAGTGGCAATCCTGGCACCTAACTTGGTCCATCCTTCAGTTAGGTTGGACTTGCACCAAACCCTGAAAGGCACTAGACTGAGCATTCTCCAAAAAACAAAGCAAATCGTGAAGATTCCGTTGCAACGCTTCCGCCCCCACTTGGAACTTGCATAACGCTGTGAAGAAAATCGTTTGACACGCCAGAGATGCCAGTAGCTTTCCCTTGTTGCAACTTGACAACATGTTGCTGGATTTCAGGAACCCCCGGAAGGATTTCAGTCGAGACAGCACATAAAGACCAAGGCAAAGCATCCCGAGCAAGGGGAGAACGCGCCTCACTGTTTCGGTGGAAGTGCTGCATCCCTTGAATGAGCAGCTCAGTCAGGAAGCTGATACTTGCCAACGCGACGAAAACGCTCACGCCGCCGCGGAAGGCCACAGAATTCGAAACCTGTTTTACCAACCAATCATGAGCAATCAAACCATGGTCAACCCCCAAACATTGTTTAGCAGTTTAGCATCCCATCTGTAGCTCTCAGCAACCCAGGGCAGAGCAGCGACAGTTGAAGCTTGCGCACAATGACGCAGAAAAGGATCATTATACACAAAGTGATAGGGAGAAACAGATCAATCGCGACGGCGAAGGGGGTTGGGCCCATACAATGAGAGAAATGATGCAGGCCAACAGCACCCAGAGTGGAGAGAACCAAATGTGAACGATCTGTACCTTCACCGACCAAGGACACGTTCAAGTCACCCATGAACCATTTTACCATGGGAAGGGACCTATCAACTTGAAATTGCATGCATCAACCAAATCTTGAAAGGGCCGTCCACTATGAGGAAAATGTATGCACGCGACGCGCACAGCCTGAGTCCAAAAAAGCATTGTAGGCTTTTGTTTGTATTAAAATGTTGTCTCAAGGAGATTGCAAAGGACGGAACTTGTGAACCAGCATTTTTGAACGGCAGCAGCCCTCCATCACAAGACACAACGTGGACATCAGCAGCGGAGAGCAACAATTCTTACCGCAGCCATTTTGATTGCGCAAAGCGACGGCCATCGCTTAATAAAAGAGCCAAAACCCTTCCTATGCGCATCTTGAAGCGCCCGAAAATGATTCCAAGACTTTTCCATTCGCGCAAACAAGAGACAACATGACTCACCTTCACACAAACGACCCACGAACTCTCCATCGTTGAGGCTTCAAATCAAATGCACAGCGGTTCGAAGAAATATGCAGCGCACTGCAATCTTCTACAATTTCTGTCCTCCATGGGAAGGTCTGGGTTGGACGTGAGCTCTGGATGGCTTAGGAGCTCGACATGTTTGGCCTCAGAGGGGGGCAAAACGGCAACCCATTGCATATAATCCCTTCTCCCTAATACTAAACGTCCCCCCCTCCCCTAATAATAAACACGGCAGGTAGTTTTTAGTATTAGGGGGGTATTTAGTATTAGGGAACCCTAATACTAAATTAAAACCCTTAATAATAAAAATTATTTTTTCCGATTTCGAAATCAATTATTTTTTTATATACGCAATTAAAATATTGCCAAAAATTGGATTTCGAAGCTTCCCCCTAATAGTAAACTAAACTAAAACCCTTCATAAGAAAAAACATTTTTTTCCCATCTCAAAATCAATGAAATTTCTATATGTATAACGCAATTAAAATATTGCAAAAAATTGGATTTCGAAGCTTCCCCTAATACTACATTAAAACCATTAATAATAAAGACTATTTTTTCCGATCTCAAAATCAATTAAATTTCTTTATATAACGCAATTAAAATATTGCCAAAAATTGGATTTCGAAGCTTCCCCCTAATACTAAATTAAAACCATTAATAATAAAAACTATTTTTTCCGATCTCAAAATCAATTAAATTTCTTTATATAACGCAATTAAAATATTGCCAAAAATTGGATTTCGAAGCTTCCCCCTTAATACTAAATTAAAACCATTAATAATAAAAACTATTTTTTCCGATCTCAAAATCAATTAAATTTCTTTATATAACGCAATTAAAATATTGCCAAAAATTGGATTGCGAAGCTTCCCCCTAATATTAGATTAAAACTCTTCATAATAAAAACTATATATTTTTTCCGATCTCAAAATCAATAAAAAGTTCTTTATATAACGCAATTAAAATATTGCCAAAAATTGGATTTCGAAGCTTCCCCCTAATAATAAACACTCCCGGGTTGACTAGTTTTTAGTATTAGGGGGGGGAACCCACAAATGGTAGTTTGATTTTTAAATTGTTTTCGAAAGGGGATCAATTAAAAGTCAAATTGGCCAAACTGAAATTTTCAGAAATTGGAGATGGACGCCTGTTTTTAGTATTTGGGGGACGTTTGGTAATAGGGAGAGGGGATTATGTAGTGCAGAGCAGGTTCAGCCTCCTCGCTTCTTTTTTTCCTAGAGCATGGGAAAGTTTACAAAGGCCAGAGATAGCAAGAAAGCACGGCAACAATAAGAAAGAGAGGGAAAAGCATAAAACGAAATGTGAGGGAAGGAGAGGGGCTTGTTAAAAAGGAACATCTTTCCAACACGTGACACACACACACACGCTGTAGACAAAGTCATGTCCCCCCTCAGTATTGTTTGACACATATATAAACATCATCAACAAGTGAAAGAAAGGAAGATTACATCTTGAAAAGCTGCCCACGTAGATGTGGCATGCTGTTTAGCAAAGTCTGCAAAATAAGAGAGGGTCTTGTTGCTAGCGCTGGAAAGTAGGCTTTCCTCGTGCTTCTTGTATCCTTTGGGAAATGGTCATGATCAAATAGGATGTTTAAAAGGAGGAGGCCTAACCCAGAGAAAACACATATTCAGCCGTAAAATGCACTCCTTCAACGGTAGTCATTAGGTTCAAAAAAAAAATGTGGCAAATTCCAAGAAGAAATTCCACCCTAGAAGAGAAAACAGGATATATCTCCACTTTGAAGCATTAGGTGCAACAGAAAAAGTATATATTTAACATAAAATGCAAAAAAAAAAACAGCGGATAAGTTCAGGTCATGCGCAGCGCATCAGTTCACCAAAGAAAATGCAACACATTGAACTAAAGGCAAAATTGCAAACAATATCAGGCAATGCAGTTTTTTTCAATTGCTTTCATTGCCCAAAGAGAAATATAGATATGTATATGTATATATATATATGTGATATATAGTCTATTAAGTTGTATGCCTGTGCTACATGCCCAGCAAACAATGCTTTGAAGAAATGAGGTTCTTCAAAGAAGTGCAGTTTTCCTTTCAAAGCATCCACTTCAACAAAAAAGTTGTTGTCATTTACAAGCTGTCATTTACAAGCTTTCAACAAGAAGCTCAGCTGGCCTTTATGTTTGAAAGTAGCACCATTTCTTTAAAAAATGTAACGCTCCTTTCAAAGAAACACAGCTGCCATCTGTTTGGAAGGAACACCATTTGTTTGAAGGAAAGGCTTTACTCACCAAAAAGAAAATTGAATCAGCTGCCTCTTGAAAGTTACATCATAAATATGTAACAATCCTTTCAATCACACCATTTCTTTGTAAATATGTAACACTCCTTTCAAAGAACTCCAGCTGCGCTCTACTGAGACAGGAACACCATTTATTTGAAGGAACGGTTTCCTTCACCAAAAACATAATTTTGCATCCCCAAAGGCTTCACACCTGAAAAGGAAAATTGCACATCCCCAAGGAAGACTGCGCATGTTTAGCATACAAGATTTTTTTAATAATGACTTGACAAGAATGCCTTGGGGGCAAGATGAATCAGATTTGGTTTGGATTAATAATCTGGATTAATCCTAAGGAATCAAAAACCCAAAGAAACCAAAAAAAAATAAGAAGAAACAAAAAGACAACAAAAACAATGTTTTCTAGACTAGCTGAACATGCCTAGGTCCAAGTAGTCCCCAAAACATTTTGTTTGTTTTTTTGTTTTATTTTGGGTGGTTAACCACTCTAAGCTCTATGTACACTAGAAAAGGCTTGTGTATGGACAGCAAAAGGCCAATATTGTTTTAGACAATGTAATGTATTTTGGGGAAAACATTGCCTTTTGCGCGCCCACAACAAGCTTTTCTGCATTTCTAATCGAAAAGGCTTGTGCATGGACAACAAAAGACCAATATTACATTACTTCAGATCATGTAATATATTTGCAAGAAACAATGAATATGTACAAACAATTGGTGATTTCAGCGCTGGCAACAAGCCTTTCTGCAAAATAACAGGTTAAAGAACGCAATAGAAACAAAGCAAAATATTGACAATTGACATGCTTTTCAGCAAACCCCATCGCACTGCCAATATGATTCTGGCCCTCGGTTTGAGCTTGTCGTCATACTCCACCTGAAACGAGACAGGCTCCCCGTCTCGAAATTCCAACCTGCAACAAAGCATGGCAACGGAGCTGCTTATCCTGCTTGGGTCTTGCTTTGAAAGTCAGGGATACTTGCCTAGTCTTGTATATGTACACTTCAGAAATATCATACACTTTCCAGGGCTTTGTCAGGCCTCCTACGCAGCTTGTAGAGGTCTGGCTCGTGGCCAATCTCAGACTTGTGCAGAAATATGTCCTTCGCATATGACACAGCAGTCTTCAAAATGTCAACCCTGGCCAAAGCCAGTCCTTGTTGTAGATTGCTCTGGACTCCGAACAAACGATGAAGCCAAAACCACCATCTGGGTTCCAGCTACGCACGATTCCCGAAAATCGCCTGGCGAAATCATGCATTTCACGGGGGTGCTGCAACCAAAGATTGATGCAGCTCCAGTTCCAGACGGAAGTTTCAAACTTTTCTGAGGTGGACTTGAGGCCCAAAGGGAAGTGGATGATAGCTAGTTGGGCACCGAGAAATGTGTATCGAGAGAATATGTGGCGCGACCTTTTTAGTTTCAATTGTTTAGCTTCAAATTTGGAAAAGGTCGCGCCAAATCAGTTATGTATCTATTGATGCCGCTGAAAATGTCCTTATGACATGCTAAGCAGCGAATCGCTTAAAGAAAATACCCGCAAAGTGAAATATTCGGAGGTTGGAGTGATGTTAGACAGTAGCATCAATGCACTTGGATCATTCAAGAGAAGACCTTGGAGGGTAGCATCAATGATAGTAATAGTAGAAAATTCAAGAGAAGATGTTGGAGTGATGCATGTTAGAAAAATCAAGGGAAAATCTTACAGCGTAGCATCAGTGATTGTTGGTGGCAAACACTTTCTCTGACGACCCGACTCCTGTGAACATCTGCTCCTAGAAGCTGTTCCCCGCCACCCCTTCTCGTTTCGATCAACGTCTCTGCTTAGTTTTAAGTCAGCCCTTTTCGTTCCAATTTCTCTTTGTTTCGTTTCAAATTACTCGGCGCATTATGATGTTGTAGTGAACTTTTCGCTGACTTTACCAAACACTGAAAGGTGGATGTCAAAATCAGCCGGCAGAACACAATCCTCACCCTATCACCTCGTATTTCAGCCGTCTATGTTAAAGTAGCACGCGGCGGGATTCGAACTCGGGTAAGGGAAACAATGCAGGACTTCTCAAATACATACCATCCATTGCTTTTGAGAGCTAACTGCTACTCAAGTATAATCGTATGATAAGCAAGCAAACCACAAAACAGGTACGACGAGTATTCGGATTTTCCCGCCGAAGCATACCCAATCTAACACCTTCGACCCTGTGACCGTCAACAAAAAAAACTTACATAATAACATAGCTTAACATAACATAACATAAGACTACCTTACCTTACAATACAGTGCGATGCAATACAATACATATCAACCAAAGTAGTTTTAGCGTCAAGCCCAAAAAAAAAACATCAGGACCTTTGCCGTGGGATTCGAACCCACGCAGGGGGGTACAGTTCGAAGCGATCGATCACTGCAAACGGTGGGGGGGAAAATCGGTTCGACGTGATACATCACTGCGTATGCATCCAGTCAGCCCTCAGTACATTTTGCTAAAGCAAAGCTAACTCCAGCTAACAAGCTAGCTTTCGCGATTGTTGACCTTGATGCCTTTGCGTTTGGACAGATCAGGCGATTCTTATTCACTTTCATGCCATTGCGTTTTGGGGCGTGCCGGTACGCCATGTACATGAAGAAGACGCTATTTTGCCAGCCTGCTTGGATCATGTACTTTGGGAGGCTGGCAATGCTCTGCAGCAGCCTGATGCATATGCCAACCCCACATAGCCACATAACCCCACCTTGAGAACAAAGCAGCTCAACCGCTTAACTGCTTAACCTCCAGTGCCTCCAGGTAGGAGCTCAAATCAACACCTGCAGCCGCATACTGAGCCACGACGGCCGCGCTTTGATGGTCTCCTGTCAGCGCGGAACTCAAGTGAAGCAGCTGGGGTAGAGCCATTTTGCACACCGGCCGGCGAAACTGTGAGAGAAAAAGTGTGGCTTAATCGCTTTGCACCCGGTTGCACCCAGTTCGCTCCAGCAGCTTGGTACTGTTGCTGAAGTTCAATGATTCCGGCGCATTGCTCCTACCGGTCAACATCCAGAAAAACTTAACGAGCGAGCAGGGGTGATAAAAAAGCAAAACCACATGATGACATACTGTGACATACCCAGATCCAGTCATGCAGCTTGGAGACGGAAAAGGATCTTTCTTGTGAGGGGGGTTTCCACAATTAAAATTGTGCGCTTGGGCATCCGTGCATTAAAATGTATTCAGTAGAAATCAAACCACAAAAATGCAAAGGACTTCACCAAGCAAATTCCAAAAAAGAGTGTTACACGAGAAGGGGCCCCTTGGGCCCCTTGCAAGGGGCTTTCTGACTTCGGCCTGGGATCTGCTCAATTTCAAGGTGTTGCCAGGTCTTCGATGCTTTCAATCCTCTATATACCGCCGTTTGAAGATGCCAAACCATGCCAAACCCCAGCCTTCCCAGCCACAGAGTACAATGTCAGCCAGCTGGATCGTAGCCGGCGCTTATAATAACAGGAAGATACATTGCGGGGTATTTTTGCTGGACTCAACCCCCTGATGGAAAGACTTTGAAAGGTATCCCAGCATCTCAGTCATCTGAATAAAACACTTCTTCATTATAAAATATGATGCTGAATCCAACCTGCCTTGGTGAAGTCAAAGCTGCCCACTGAACTGCCTCCTTGCATTGAAAATGTTTCTTCCAAAAACCGACCTTTGATTTATTTTGATTCCGTGTGAGTTCGATACACTTGACTAAATTGAACAAGTCCACACGTGCTAGGTGTCCTATGTTTGCAGCAGCCGGAGGTGGGGTCATGTTGGTTGGCACAGCCTGTTCAAAGGGTGAGGTGCAAGTCTGCAACACATTGCAAGACATTGCAATACATTGCAATGCATTGCAATACTGTATGCCAAGCCGTTTGCCAAGCCGTTTGCGCAGCGTCTTCTCAGCGGGTACTGTAAGTAATGCGATAACGGTGGTAGTGGCACATGCTGTCACATCATGATCAAACCAAGATTCCTGGGCAAAGCATCACACTTTGCCCTGTCCCTTTGGCCTGGGAAAGTTGTATTCCTGGCAGAGGGAGTGCAGGCAAGGCGGCTGAAGCAGGCAAAGTTGCAAGGGACAGCCCTGGCACCTTAGCACTGCTTCCAAATGCTTTGCGGGTCGCCAGGGCTTCATGAGAGACTTGTCACAAATCAAAAGGAGGAAATCAAAACATATCAAAACTATGTTTGAAACTATGGGATAACTGCGGCACAAGTTGCTCTCCGTCAATTCTGAACCTTTCTTGAATTTTATTGCTTGCAACGGCGCTGATGCCACGCACGCTTGGCGATGGAATATATCTGCTCCCAAACCAGCAGCTAGACTGAGAGCTGGAGCCTGACGGCATGCACCAAGAGCGCTGAACCAAACCGGTAGATGGCGCCATGTCGCTGTAGGCTCATAGGTCACAAGGGCATTGCGGGCACGTGCCGAGGGCACCGCTGCAAACTAAGACATATCAATCACAAAATGACCAGGATGCAACCATAAGATCGCCACAATGCCCGAGCACAATTGAGCGGCGTCGAAAACCGGGTAGCGATTTGGTTCTAATCCTTATAAGCTTTCGCGATGGCTTTCGCGGTTCTTTCGCCGGCACAGTTTTGGCTTTCGCGGTGACAGGTGTCTCGTAATATCTTTCGCGGTTGCTTTCGCGGAAAATTGCCCGTAAATAATGGTGCACATGAATATTTAAATGCGCTTCTACTATGTACCTGCTTTCGCCTCTGCTTTCGCGGCTCGACCTTGACGCACTCTTTTCGCGAAGCTTTCGCGCGTGGAGGTTTTGCTTTCGCGGGGGGTTCCCCACATGAACCCGAATACTAAATCCCGTCATGGAGGTTTTTGGTGCTGCTCAATTGAACGCATCCAACATGTACAACATGACATATTGATCTGCATGTCAATCTGTCAGCAAACTTGGGGCATCTTGGCAAGCATGGGGGTCTTGTCCTGTGTGATTCCAAAAGGTGCGCAAATTGGTTGATTCAGACCAGCTTTTCTCTTCAATAGGTTTCAGGAGTTGCTGAAAGAAGTGGCATGTGCTGACTCCATCCACTACAGCACCCAGCATGACCCCTCAAATTTGCATCTCCACAGCACCAGCCACAATATGATCATCACATATCATCGCTTCATCACAACATTACCTTGGCATCTACACCATCTACACCACAGCATACGAGTCGAGCATGGCACCTCCGCGAGTTCACTCCCACAACCACCAAACATAGCACTGCCAAAAAGTGCATCACGTGTAAGGGAACTAGATGGAACCAGGGTAATTACGGTAACCACCCTGCCAAAAAAACATCACAAAAAATCGGCATGCGGCCTCCTGCAATATCTGCAATAGGATGCGCCGCCATACACCGCCACAACACTGCACACACACCCGTGCAGAAAAAACCCCAGCACAACATCACATGACCTAGAAGCACCTTCGTACAACTTGTGATCAAGGGTTGATATAGCAGTATAGCCGTGGATTGTGTGTGTGTGCATGTGAAACTGTATGAACATATTGAGAATTGGCCAAATTGGCCAAGAAACTTGTTGCGGCGGTGCACAGAGGGTTGGCTGAAGCAGTGGGGCGGCGTGCAGCCTTGCTGTGAGCTGGAGTCGTCACAAGTTTCTGATTCCCCATTGACCATCATGGACCCCAATGGCCACACATATTGCCTCTGAGAAATCCGTTGGAAATAAGTTGGAAATCAGTTGGCCGAGTTGCGCATGCGACGCCGGGTGCACATACGTTGCTAGATGCGGCGCTTGTGCCGCTTGCCATGCCACATTGACCGACATGGACGGTGGAACGCACTCTCGGCGTGCAGCACCGAGAGCACTGGCATGGGATCACCCCATGTCAACATATGTCAACTGGTAAAGCCTCAAAAGGGATCCTCTTGGAGAGAGAGCGAAAAGGTAAGGATGTCAAACTGGCCTTGGATGAAAAACAAACGCGTAAGAGGATGGTGATTCAGTGATCGTTCAAAGTTCACCTGGATCTCCTGGTGAAGCTTGACTGTGGTATCACAAGATTTTCTGTCACTTCACTGCGTCACTGTGTGCTTAGGTTGGTGATAAATTGGTTTCTGCTGTGGAGCCCTACATGCAACAAAACAATCGGAACATGCCATGCTGTGCAGAAAGTTTGTGCCTTGAAGCAGCCATTTTCATCCATGTTCAAGCCATGTTCATCCATTTTCTTGTCTGGTCTCAGGTCTGGTCTCTGCTGACTATGCCAAAGTCAACCATTTCAGCACACAGCCTAGGTGGCTCGGCTACTCGGCTACTCAGCACGCCGAGGCGATCTTGACCTGCCCCGACCTTCGATGCAAAGCAAAGGGCGCAACAAACTCTATCACAGCAGCACGAAGCGATTAGGCCAGAAAGGCTATCCTGGCTATGCATTGGCTATGCTGCATCATACTCCAAAAAAACGATCCTCGAGTCAAGCTTGGCAAGCTTGGCAAACCAAGGGGCAACCAATTAATCACTTTGTTTTGTACCACTGATTTGCAATGCTGAGATTGATTCAGTGATGGGCACTCGAAATGAAGAGGCAAACAACACAACACCGAGCAAGGAAGCAACCAACACTGATGTAGTGTGTTGAGATGTGTTGTGCATGTTATGATGTGTTATAATTATAAGTTATCTAAATTTAAAACGTATGAATTTGAAGTTTCTAGTGGTGCATGCGGAATGCTTGACGGTTAGGTTGACGGAGAGACCGACGGTGAGGTTGACGGGTTCTCTTTTCGTGACGGTGAGGTTGACGGAGAGGTCGACGGTGAGGTTGACGGTCCGTGAAAGTGTCCGTCAAGGTGCCCGTCACGACAAAATAAGGTCTATCTTACCATTGAAGGAAGTTTAGAAGTCAAACTTCCGACAATATGGACAGATGAAAAGCAGAGATGGGAAGAGTCGGAGAGAAAAAGAAGAGTAGAAGAGAGAAGATCAAAGAAGAGAAAGAGTCAGAAGAAAGAAGATGCAGATGCGCGAAAAGGTAGGAGAGTCGCGAAACACTGGTTTTTTCCAACTATTTGTGGCCCCGAATGGTCGAAAAGTAGGCTCGCTAAAGCGGCGGGTGCGGAGCCATCTGGCCAAATGAGAGATGAAAAATTGCACCCCATTGTGGCGCGAAGCACATTTCGAAGTCAAAATGTACAAAACACGCCAGGTTCGGACCACTTTTGGAAGTTGCGATGTCGAAAAAGTGTACACCGTTGTGGCGCGAAGCACATTTCGAAGTCAAAATGTACAAAACACGCCAGGTTCGGACCACTTTTGGAAGTTGCGATGTCGAAAAAGTGCACGCCGTTGTGGCGCGAAGCACATTTCGAAGTCAACATGCACAAAACACACCATGTTCGGACCACTTTTGGAAGTTGAGATGTCGAAAAAGTGCACGCCGTTGTGGCGCGAAGCACATTTCGAAGTCAAAATGTACAAAACACCACATGTTCGTGCCACTTTTGGACGTTCAGATGTGCTTTCGCGTGGCAGGCGCAAGGGATTGTGGACCTTGTCAAAAGTGACCAAAATGTGAGGGTTTTGTAGCATTTCCAAAAACGATGGCAGGCGTGGGACATTTGAAGAAGATCTGCAAAGATGCATTTTCCGTGGCAGGCGCAGTACAAGAGACATGTTCATCAGAGCTGTTAGGAGGTCCGGGCGCTGATTTCCTGAGATGGGTTGCATTTTGGAGCATCAGATCTTCGGGTTTGCTGAAATGATTTTGCGTGACAGGTGCAGCACTTCGTATGACCTGGCATCACTTTTTCGTGGTAGGCACAGTAGTTTAGACACATGGGCTGGAAAAATCGCAAAACGCATTGGCACGAGGCCGTCAGCTCTGGACTCAACTTTCCATTTTTGAAGGAAGTCTCGCAGAATTCTTTTGTTTTTGATGTTGTCAACTTCGAAAAATGAGGAAGTCTCGCAGAATTGCTTCGTTTTTGACGTTGTCAAGTTGAAATATTGAGGACGTCTCGCAGAATTGCTTCGTTTTTTATGTTGTCAACTTTGAAAAACGAGGAAGTCTTGCAGAATTGCTTCGTTTTTGACGTTGTCAAGTTCAAAGATTGAGGAAGTCTCGCAGAATTGCTTCGCTTTTGATGTTGTCAACTTTGAAAAATGAAGAAGTCTCGCAGAATAGCTTCGTTTTCAAGCTTGCAGATAGACAGGTAGATAGACAGACAGACAGACAGACAGAGAGAGAGAGAGAGATAGATAGATAGATAGATGGATGGATAGATAGATAGATAGATAGATAGCTTGTCCAGTTTCCCTAGCGAGACATTCGCCAAGTGCTGTCGCACTGCGGGCAGACTCGGAGGGTTTCGTTTTCCTCGTCGTCGTCCTCCCCTTTTCGGGGATTCTGGACGTCGGTCCCGCGCGCGGTCGCGGTCCCGGTCCTTTTCACGTCCTCCGCCTCTGCCGGGCGGGTAGAACATCGTCATGGCCTCACCGGAGTCGATCGGGGCTGGGTTTGGCTTTCGCCACTTGGGGTGTGGCGCGCTGCGCTCAGTCGATGGCCGCTGGCCTGGCCTGCTGGGCCTTTCACGGAGTTGTTTGCGAGGGCCGCTGGCTTGCCTCGCGCGGTAGCTGCGGTTCTTGAGCTCAAGGCCCGATCTCGCGCAGCTCCGCTACCAGTGTGAAAGTGACTGCGTCAGACTGCGTCGGGTCATTGCTTTCTTCTTTCTTACGCCATGTAACTCAAGGGCCCTGCGAAGTCAGGCAAGTGATAGCAACAGGGGAATTAGTGAAACATGACCTTGCAAGTGTGACACGTCTATAGAAGTGCAACCTTCACAGATCCGACCACAGAAGCAGCAGCAGCCAAACACATTCATCTGGCGACTGAAAAAAAACACTACGGGATTGACACAGTGGGAGAAAAAACGGAACGCAGGCCATGCACCTGCCAGGGCAAAAGCAGCGCCGTACAACCGATGCTGCGACCATGCAGGAAAAGGAGACCCTCGTACGTAGTCCAGGCCAAAAAATGCATTCCAACCCAGAAAAAGGATAAAACTGGGGCAAAACCGGGCAAAAAACCAACCCCAGGGCCGACCCGTGGAGGTTCAAAAACGCGCCTTGGGCGGCGAAGCCTCCGTGAATCAGCCCGAGAAAAAAAACAGAGCCTACACAAGCCGCTCGGCCCAGTCAGGAGAGGAACTCTGCTACGGCTCTTCGAAGTGAATGGAGCCTGCAGCGGACACCGGGAGGCGCCGCAGCACAGCCCGGGCGTTCTCGCGTTGGAGAGCAACCGCCAAAGCTTGCAGGAGCTGGTCAGTCCCCGCACTAGCAGCCAAGCCAACACGCGCAGCATGTAGCCAACCCAGCTTGCGCCACGTGGCAAGAGCGGTCCCCAGTCGCCGCCACATGCCTCGGGGACTAAAGGGATGAATTGCAGACACCTTGGCCCTGACAAAGTTGCTCCGTATTGTGGTGCGAACGTTTCCGGTGTTCATAGGCGGATGCAGCTGCACTCCCACCACAAGCCGAGGCCGAGAGGATCGACTGACCGACCCACGCATGCCGCTGCCAGGTCCAAGGCGGCAGGTCCACGCGCACCCCAGGAGGGAAGGTAAACGTCAGCAGGGCGCCTTTGCGAGGAGCCTACCCGCCCACATTCACTCACGCTCAGCTCCTCTGGTCTTGCAGGAAGCAAGCCGGGTTTTTCAACCTCACGGCTCAACCCCGCCGCGCTGGCCCGAGCCACCACGACGGCGCGCAGGCGGTTGTCACGCTTGGTCCAGTCACCGCCGCAAGGGCAAGCCCGGGAATGATCCCCAAACCGGTCAGCGACCCCATCGCACAAAGGGCAATAGCCGTCAGTACTTGCAACGGGAACACGAAGGCGCAGTCGGAGGAGGATTCGGAAAAAGGCAGGTTCCAGGTGGAGGCCAAGAGCGGTTGAAGGCCGGGCAAAAAGCCAAGCCCCGCACCAGGTTGCTGAAGGAGTTGGAGATGGGCTCCGTGGGAAGAATCCGGGGCAGAGACCAGCAGTTGGGCAAGATGAGCCGTATACTAGTCGTATACAGCAGAAATGCTGAGCTCAAGTCAGTTCTAGGGTTTGACCTAGATGAGCCGTACACTAGCCGTACGCAGCAGAAATGCTGAGTTCAAGTCACAGTTCTAGGGCTTGACCAAGATGAGCCGTATGTATACTAGCCGTATAAAGCAGAAGTGGTGAATTCAAGTCAGTTCTAGGGCTTGACCAAGATGAGCCGTATACTGGCCGTATACAGCAGAAATGCTGATTTGAAGGCAATTCTAGAGCCTGACCAAGATGAGCCGTATACTAGCCGTATATAGCAGACATGCTGAGTTCAAGTCAGTTCTAGGGCTTGACCAAGAGGAGCTGTATACTAGCCGTATACAGCAGAAATGCTGAATTCAACTCATTTCTAAGGCTTGACCAAGATGAGCCGTATACTAGCCGTATACAGCAGAAATGCTGAGCTCAAGTCAGTTCTAGGGTTTGACCTAGATGAGCCGTACACTAGCCGTACGCAGCAGAAATGCTGAGTTCAAGTCACAGTTCTAGGGCTTGACCAAGATGAGCCGCGTGTATACTAGCCGTATACAGCAGAAGTGCTGAATTCAAGTCAGTTCTAGGGCTTGACCAAGATGAGCCGTATACTGGCCGTATACAGCAGAAATGCTGATTTGAAGGCAATTCTAGAGCCTGACCAAGATGAGCCGTATACTAGCCGTATATAGCCGCAACATGTCAGTTGTCAGTAGCTTAACGATATGGTTTCTACGCATACCCTTGTGAAAACCCCACGACGGAAAATGTGTTTCCAATATCCAATGGTATTTCCAAACGCCCTGGAAACCCAAGGGTCCAAAGAAACTATCGCTTCTGGGTGGTCTGAAACGGGTCTGAAAATTGTATGAAACCCTGAAAATATCAATCTGTTCCCATCCTCCTCCATCCTTGGCCCGCCTCATTTCATCATAAGTGCCTCATAAGTGCCACAATGGCCCGCGGCCCATCGCGCGCGCAAAGATGCACAGCAGAATACCAGGAACTTATCTTCTACCCTCAATCTTTGCTATGCATATACCCCAAAAAAACTGGGTTTTCAAATTTCAACCCAGAAAATAAGGTAGGCCTAAAATGCTACAGATGTATTTATCTGTATGTGTGTGTTTATGTGTGTTTATCTGTTTCTCTAATATAGTATATGTATACAAAAATGGAACCGATATATAATTATATATATATATATAGAATCGAACTTGCTCCCCGAAGGAACCGAATCGCTGCGAATCGAACCGATGCGAGAATCGCGGATGGTAGAATCGCAAACCAATTCTCTCAAATTCAATTCTTTATATAAGGAGTCGAACCGAAATCGCCAAAATCAAATCGGTACCACCCTGGAATATCCCAAATGTGTGTTCATTTCCTAGACATGGCTGTCTTGCTGAAACCAGCTATGGGTGCATGTACACATGCATACAATGATGGCAAAAGGAAATCTAATTGAGGGATGCAAAGTTTAAGCAAAGCAGTTTTAAGCGCCCATTGGCATTATGTGGTTGATTTTGCTGCTAGCAATGTTGCTGTCCGACATCAACTTCTTTGATGGATTGCCAAGTCAAGCTTGTAAGCTAGCCTGGATGCGTCATACAATCACCACCACATTTCAAAGGCAAGACACAAGCACCTCGCAGCGCACAGACTGCACGGAGCAAAGGCCACCGAGTAAGACTTCGGTCTCGCAGGTCCGGGTGCTGCCGACTTAACCACCGCCTCATTCCATTTCCACGATGCACTTGGCACGTGCACACACACAGACACAAAGGCCTGAAACAAGTTGGCACATGTAGGCACACGCTGCTACATTATTGTGGACAGTAAAGTTTTTTAAAACAAATAGACGCAAGGTAAACATGCAAAACTAATGCCAGAAACATGACCGAAGCCAAGCGGATCAAGCAAGGAGCATTTCATGAACTCCAAAAGAATTTGGGCCCTTTGCGTCCAGCAATTCCTTGATAAGTTCAGCAAACCGGCTGACGGGCAGACGTCGGAAGGCCACCACACTGCACACAACAAAAAAAATAGAAAACTATCAAGATAAAACACTGACAAAGGACAAACATCAAAGATGCTTCCTGAGGGCGCATCCAGTTCTACCCCACTGCAATCTAATGGAAAGACAGCCACCGCTTGTGGGTATTTTCCCGATGCTTTGAGTGGAACCACTTCAGGTGTTTGCCTGAACACGGTGCGGCTCAATTTCATGAATTTCCAGCTGTCTTGGCAGAAATGCTTTCTACCTGACATGTGCTGGGACTTGGCCCCACTTTCCTCGCCCTTCCTGGCCGTTGCGCCTGTCGTCACCATATTGATTTCGCAAGCCCAACTTCAGCATTTCGATTGATTTAGGTGACAAGAAACCTCGAGCCTCCTCGCAGAAAGGGCCAAAAACATGCCAAATGTGCATCGCACAGAAACACCCTCCCCCGGCCAAGGTTACCACTACTCCTCCTCAAGCTGGCACTACACATACCATCACATACCTATCTGACAAAATCACAGGTACAGTGAATGCGTTCTGTCTGGAAAAGGGAACACTCAGCGAACTTGCCAGACGTTTTCCTTTTTACACAAGCATTTGACGAGGAGGCGTGCTGGCAACACTTCCTCTTGTCAACACTTTTACTTTTTTTTAGGCGCTGGAAAAGCTTCCCAGTCTGGTTTGCCCACGGAGGCTGAACAGTGCTCCGTCCCGATTAAGCTCAAGCAGTCTCTGATCAACACTTTTACTTTTGTTTAATCGCTGGAAAAGATTCCCAGTCTGGTTTGCCCACAGGGTCTGAACAGTGCTCCGTCCCGATTAAGCTCAAGCAGTCTTTCATAGTAAGAGAATGTTGTTTCAATTTCAATGGCTTTGCGTGAAACTTCATGCGTTTTTTCCGAACCTCTCCGTTTCAAGGTTCTCAGCGCAAATCTCCACATTTTACGTGCACATGTTACCTGCACATTTTTTGTGTACCTCAATGCATATTCAAACTACCCACCACCTCGTCCAACTCTCGGATTGCACATTCCAAATAACTCTCACCAAACTCCACTTTTCCACCAAGGTCCTTAGTTCATCACGCGTATGTAATGTCAACACTCGAAGGATTGATAACAAACAACACCTGCTCATGGTACAACTGGAATCATGGCATCTTTCAAGAGAGCATTGAGCCTTGCTGAGAGCAACACGCTCCATAGAAGCGTATCTTGATCATCCTTCTTCTCCCGAAGGACCAGCACTTCGTCACCCCCTTGGAAGTTAGCAACAATATGCAAGAATCCTAGCAACACACAATGACAAACAAGACAAACAATCGCACGATGAGTATCAGTGGCAGCTGAGGCGCACACGGAAAAGCATCAACGCTGCACGCTTTACCTGGTCCAACTGTCAAAAGCCCCACCCGTCCTGCGGGAAAACTACATACATAGCCCCCCAAAAAACAAAGTCTAAATGGTTTCAATAGTTTGGTTTTGCCTTAACTATCCTTAGTTTCATAATTTCATAAGTGCAACATCTGCAGCTTTCAACCATTGCAAATGTTCCGATGAGGTGATCTGGCACCCGATCTTCCATGGACACCGTGCCCAAACTGCAGGGCTGTGTCCTTCGTGTCCTTCGTGTCCTTCGACACTTTCAACTCCTTTGACTCACCTGGGGGCCGGGGAAATCAGCCGAAAATCATTCATCGTTTGGCTAAAGATGGCTAAAGTAAGGGTTAAAGTCGGTTAAAGCGCAGCAATGTGCAGCATGGTACAGCTGAACGATTTTGATGGCCGTGAGACGTTGGGAGCATTGAGGGCTTGACATAGTGTGTCACAAGCATGTGACTCTATGTTCACTATGACTTCTGTGGCATCCTGCCTGCGCATGCCCCAGCACCGCTCACCACCACGGCATCTTCTGCCTAGCGCGCTACTGCGTTACTACATGATTTTCCTGGTAAGAAATCGCCTCAATTTCATCCAAAGCTTTCAACCATGCAACCTTGGGCTGCCCTTTGGCATCCACGACGAGCTTGAACTCCACGATTGCACCAACACTTGGCACCTGGATGCAGGGAAGTGAACCGATACAAGGCCCTGACGTTATTGATTTATAAGCTTAATGGTTATGCCCTTCACCCTCTTCACCTGCTGCTGAAGCACAGAATTCAGCTGATTCTTGTGAAGAAAAATGTCTCGATCTCCAATCTTCTTGGCGATGTCATTGGAAGTTAGCCAGCCAAAGCTACCGCGAAAAAATTTGACAGTACCGCGGTATCTTTCGTATTCCATGGGTTTGAGAGCCAGCAGACTGCGGGAGTTGCATGTCTAAGCGCGTGCGACTGGGCATCAAATGGCTCTGCGCAAACCTCCGTCACAAAAGCATCAAGAAACTTCAAGAAACCCGACTGGCCCGACTCGGCGTCACCAGGGGCCAGTTTGGCTATCAGGGCTGCCAACACCCTTTTTTTGCCGCACTTTGTTGACCTGTCGTCCACTACGCCTGACGCTGAAAATAACGAGTTCAGACTTTTCCGAAACGGAATCACAACCAAGGTATGGTCTTTTTGCAAGAAGCCAAGGCTTATTTACTGAGGTGGGTAAACATCCTCAAAAATACACAAATATGTATTGGCACATTCCTATTTAGAGCTGATTTGCTTTTTCCAACATGAAATGTTGCGTGTCAAGTGGTGTTCGCCCAGTTGCATATCTGAAATATGGCGACTCCCTCCAGGCTCTGTTCCCATTTATTACCAGGAAAAGGGCAGAACCTGAGGTTTAAGAATCCTCCGCGCATTCTGCCAAGAAAAAACATGAAGTGCTAGTGATGAATGGTGATGAATGCCCAAGTGTTTCTTATCAAGTGTGCCCCGAAGAGGTCTGCAACACAAGCCACAAGTCAAGTCTTACCTGAAATAAGGAACACCTAGCACAATTTCGTTGTTGACCTATCTACGAGTGCTGCGCTAGCTTCAAATCAGTAGTGGCCAACTTTTGGCCATTTTTCTCAGCCAAACATCACCCTACCTTTCTCTTCATACAGCTTTGCACAGACTTGATTGTCTGGCCATCTCTGCAGTCCCTACAGATACACAAATATGTCACGTAGATAAGATATATAGAACGTAAATGAATAAACAAACGGGTTAATATCAAAGATTGGAAGTTGAGTCAAACATAGGGAGGGTAGAAAGGTAGAAACACAGTCAAGGACATGAATACTTATAATTGAACGAACGCGGAAAGGTAGAGAGAAGGGAAGAGACCGAGACACAAAGAGAGTGGGAGAGAGTGAAGATAGAGAGAGAGAGATAGATAGTGGGAGAAAGAAAACCAGAGGCATTATAAACATGGGTAACAGAGGGAGAAATCCAGTCCTGATGGAGCAAAGAAAAAGCTACAGTGAGAGAGAGGGAGAGAGAAGAAGCAACGGACACGTACAAATGCATACTTCCAAAATGACATAGTTACAAACATGTATGCGTATGTATGCATACATGTATGCATATGCGTGTATACGTGCGTCAACGTGTTTGTCATATGTATGTATATGCGTGTATGCGTGTATATGCATATACATGTATGCAGTAAGTATATGTATGTTTATGAATGTATATGTATGCATATGTACGCATGTGCATGTACATGCTAGCGGCTGGGAAACCGTACGTGCATTTTTACTGTTTCGGGTGGGTTGGGGTGGGATGGTGTGGGGTGGAGTAATAACATTCAGTTGCACCTGCATACTATGGTGATGCTACGCTACGAGATCGTAGCCAGCATTTGGGGTGGGGTGGGGTAATAACGTTCAACCTGATGCACCGTTGTGGGACCTTCTCTACCGTCTGCAGTAACGCCTGATGCTCTGGCGCTGGGAGCACCATACTGTTGCTAACCTCAGCTGTGTCACCACAGACACTCTTAGGTGCGATGTGAAGATGTAAAAGATCCGAAGACTGCAGATGTTTTTAAAAAAAAACTATTTTTTGTTCTTTTCCTATGGGAAATGTAAAAATAAAAATAAAACTGTACATCCTGCAGAAGCATGATTTGGAACATGGATGTTCACAAGACGTGGCCAGAACCACAGAACATTGACAAAAATAAAATTCCCCATGCAATTGAGGACATAAACCATGAAGACACAAATTCTCACGCTGAGAAAATGCTGCAGATACCAGCAAATGAAAAGAGGCACACAAAGCTGGATTCAGAAAAAACGGTAAAACGCGCGCGCGGTAAACCATCCGCCGGGATGTACATGTATGTATCTGCGTGTGTGTGTGTGTGTGTAGGCGAACAAAAGCAGATGCATGCATAAAAAAAAAATGATAAGAAAAACAAACGCACGAATAGCGGCGTGTTACTCATTAACATGCCATGCCAAAAAAAAAGTTGCATGTACATGTGGGGAAGTGTTTAAGTGTTTGTCTATGTATATATATATATATATATCGCTCTCTCTGTTTGGAAAAAAGTGTCCCGTGACCTTTTTTTTGGGTTTATATTATAGTATTGTATAATTATATGTTGGTTTTTCTTCAGTGCAAAATCCTTTCCAAGATAATCCGCAAAGAATTTGGCACGTTTGTGAGTGTTGCAGGTTCAAGTTCAATACTTTGAAAAAAATGCAAGCTTGACTGCAACAAGGACACAAGCTGTTGCCAAGAAATAATTATGAAACTTGGTCTGCAATTTTCGCAAGTTGGACATGCAGTTTGGGAAATTCTCTGTTCTGGTTTTTTGGCCTTTGCTTCCAAAATCGGTGTGAGAAGCAGCGCCAACGGCAATTTTTGAAAGTGCTGCCATCTTTTGAGCAGGTTGCGTTCTTTTTTGTCGTCGTCTTGGTCACGTAGCCTTGCCTAGCCCCACCGGGTACCAGTAGTACCGCACAAGGCGGTGGCGGAAGTTTCAAAAATAGGAAACCTATAGGAGAGCTTGGTTGTTGTGAATCAGGGATGGCAGAGCGAAGCCACTGACTCCATCTATTTCTCTAGCTGTCTCTCTGACTATTTATCTATCTGTCTGTCTGTCCATCTATCTATGTATCTATCTGTCTGTCTATCTATCTATCTACCTATCTATCTATCTAATCTATCTAATCTATCTAATCTATCTATCTATCTATCTATCTATCTCTCTATCTATCTAATCTATCTATCTATCTATCTATCTATCTATCTATCTAATCGTTCTATCTGTATCGATCTATCTATCTAATCTATCTATCTATCTATCTATCTATCTATCTAATCTATCTAATCTATCTAATCTATCTTATCTATCTTATCTATCTATCTATCTATCTATCTATCTTTATCTATCTATCTGTCTATCTATCTATCTATCTGTCTATCTATCTATCGAATCGTTCTATCTATCTATCTATCTATCTGTCTAGCCATCTATCTAATCTGTCTAATCTATCTAATCTATCTAATCTATCTATCTATCTAATCTGTCTATCTATCTCTCTATCTATCTCGATCGATCTATCTATCTATCTATCTATCTATCTATCTATCTATCTATCTATCTAATCTAATCTATCTATCTATCTATCTAATTCTAATCTATCTAATCTATCTAATCTGTCTAATCTATCTAATCTACCTAATCTATCTAATCTATCTAATCTATCTAATCTATCTATCTATCTATCTATCTATGTATCTATCTATCTATCTATCTATCTAATTCTAATCTATCTAATCTATCTAATCTGTCTAATCTATCTAATCTATCTAATCTATCTAATCTATCTAATCTATCTATCTATCTATCTATCTATCTTTATCTATCTATCTATCTATCTATCTGTCTATCTATCTATCTATCTATCTGTCTATCTATCTATCTATCGAATCGTTCTATCTATCTATCTATCTATCTATCTATCTATCTATCTATCTAATCGTTCTATCTATCTATCTGTCTATCTATTTATCTATCTATCTAATTCTAATCTATCTAATCTGTCTAATCTATCTAATCTATCTAATCTATCTAATCTATCTAATCTATCTAATCTATCTAATCTATCTAATCTATCTATCTATCTATCTATCTATCGATCGATCGATCGATCTATCTATCTATCTATCTATCTATCTTCTGTCTATCTATCTATCTATCTATCTACCTATCTATCTATCTATCTATCTATCTATCTAATCGTTCTATCTGTATCGATCTATCTATCTAATCTATCTATCTATCTATCTGTCTATCTATCTATCTATCTAATCGTTCTATCGTTCTATCGTTCTATCGTTCTATCTGTCTATCTATCTATCTATCTATCTGTCTATCTATCTTTATCTATCTATCTGTCTATCTATCTATCTATCTATCTAAGTCTAATTCTAATTCTAATTCTAATCCTAATCTATCTAATCTATCTAATCTGTCTAATCTATCTAATCTATCTAATCTATCTATCTATCTATCTATCTATCTATCTATCTATCTCTCTCTCTCTCTCTCTGTATCTATCTATTTATCTATTTATCTATTTATCTATTTATTTATTTATCTATTTATCTATTTATCTATTTATCTATCTATCTATCTATCTATCTATTCAAGGAATTTTTCTGGTTCCTGCCCCATGTGGTAGGGCTTATATACCTAGGGGGGTGGCAATATATACCTGGTATATGCCTGGTATATACCCCTCAGTTTGGGTTGAGCATATACCGGCCATATATACAGAGGTTTGCCCGTAACTACTTTTTGCTGATTTCCACAAGCTCCCTCAAGAACTCAAGAACAGGAGCACATTTTTATCCGAACCGCAAAACCGGGAAGAAATTTAAAAGAATGCCAAAAAAACAGCCTCCTCCAAACACAAACACCATAAAAAAAACCGCCGCCTTGCCCCCACATATTGCTCCTGGTACTGGGGAGCAATATAGACCCCGGCGTATACTGTCCTGAGCAATATATACCAGGCACATACCTGGTATATATTGCTGCTAAACATAGGTGATCAATATGTGATAGGTATATACCCGGTATATACTGGGTAGAGCAATATGCGCCGGGGTATACATTGCCCCCAGTATACGTAAACTACGACAACTGCAGGTAATTTTTCTTTTGAGGAATGTTTATCGATGGATCAGGTAATTGCTCCACAGTTGCGCCACAGTTGCTGCCAAGTCCAACACATAGCAAGGTCAGGAAATGTACATTCACCACAAATGGCCAAATTCAGCATTGAAATCACCACATACTGCCTATCAAAGCCAAATTGGCCTACCACCTAGTACCCTAACCAGTAAAAACCGTGGATCTATCTATCTATCTATCTATCTATCTATCTATCTAATCTATCTATCTCTCTCTCTCTCTTTCATCTGTCTATCTGTCTAGCTGTCTACCTGTCTATCTGTCTATCTATCTATCTGTCAACCTGTCTACCTGTGGTGCAGTGTCATTCAGTCTAATGTAGTATAGTGTAATGTAGTGTGATGTAGTGGAGTGTGGCGGAATGTAGTGTAGTGTAGTGTAATGTAGTGTAGTGTAGCGTAGTGTAATTTAGTGTAGTGGAGTGTACTAGAGTGTAAGTGTAGTGTAATGTCCTGTAGTGTAGTGTAGTGGAGTGTAGTGTAGTATCATGTAGTGTAGTGTAGTGAAGCGAAGCGAAGCGACATCTGAACCTCCAAAAGTGGTCCGAACCCCTGGTGCTTTTAACATTTTGACTTGGAAATGTGCTTCGCGCCACAACGGCGCGCACTTTTTCGACATCTCAACCTCCAAAAGTGGTCCGAACCCCTAGTGCTTTGTACATTTTGACTTGGAAATGTGCTTCGTGCCACAACGGCGTGCACTTTTTCGACATCTCAACTTCCAAAAGTGGTCCGCACCCCTAGTGTTTTGTACATTTTGACTTGGAAATGTGCTTCGTGCCACAACGGCGTGCACTTTTTCGACATCGCAACTTCCAAAAGTGGTCCGAACTTGGTGTGCTTTGTACATTTTCACTTCGAAATGTGCTTCGCGCCACAACGGCGTGCACTTTTTCGACATCTCAACTTCCAAAAGTGCTCCGAGACCCAGGTGTTTGGTACCTTTTCATTTGGAAATGTGCTTCGCGCCACAACGGCGTGCAATTTTTCATCTCTCATCTGGCCAGCTGGCTCCGCACCCGCCGCTTTAGCGAGCCTACTTTTCGACCCTCCGGAGCCCCAAATCATTGGAAAACACAGTGTTTCGCGACTTTCCTACCTTTTCACGCATCTGCATCTTCTTTCTTCTTACTCTTCTTTCTTCTAATCTTTCTCTTCTCTCTGCCTCTTCCCTGCTCTGCTTTTCATCTGTCCATATTGTCGGAAGTTTGACTTCTAAACTTCCTTCGATGAAGAGCTCATGTTCAAGCTTACTGGAGTGAGCGCTCAACCGCCTATCAAACCTAAGCGACTACAGTAAGGGCTATAAGATACCTACGCAACCAGGACAGCATATAGACTTTGTGCGCAAGCATGCGGACCTTCGAGCTTGGTAACCCTCATGCAAGTTGAACCAACGTATTTACAACTATGTAAGAACAAAAGGGGCTACTGTATCATTTTCCTTTATCGTTTGACCTGACGTGAGCACTATTTCCAAACAAACAGGACTTTTTGATCTGAAAATGTCAAGCACAGGGTTGTTACTAGTTACGTTTCGTCATTTAGACTATCAATCTGTTTTCTTCAATGCTGTTACTTGATAACTTCCTTCTGCATGTAGATTGAACTGTCCAAAAAATATTGAAAATGTCTTGGTCCGTTCACGGAAAGGACACTCGCAGCTAGCTGCCAAGCTTTCAAGGCAGAGGAGCCTGAAGGCTGAAGGACCATGAAGGACCATGAAGGACCTGTATCACTTTGTATCACTACAGACCGCTGCATCTTTAAATTTTCACAACAGCTGGCCACGTATCGCAACCACTGATCGTTCCTGGTGAAACACCGAAGAAGCGGCTGTGGAAAAGTGTCAGTTTCTTCAAGACGCGTCCTTCTTCTTCTCCTCGCGACACGTCGGCCGAGGAATCCATTGGGCAGTGCATCTCATGGCATGACTGATTTTTGTTCACAATTTGTCACTCTTGGGTTCGCACGAAGCCTCCACAAGAATGCATTGCGTTGAAAAAATGTGTGTGTGTGTGTCTGTGTGGAAGGTCCGCATCCTTGTCCTTCACTTTCTCCTTTTCTTTCGCCTCGCTTAACAGTTTGGCAGCGGAAAATCTAAACATGGCTCCAACTCCAAGGACCTTGTCTTTGATTGTGTTTTTCTTATCCTCACCAGGCAGCATCATACAAGGGTTTAAAAACTCAAATCTCGGAAAACTGAGTCCAGCTCAAAACACAAATGCCATTCCAGTGTCCTCATCCTTGTCTTTCTCCTCTTGACCTTTTGCTTTTCGGTCTTCTTTTTTATCCTTTTTTTTCTCTGGGTTTTGTTCTTTTTCTTTTTGTTCTTTTGCTTTTCTATCCTTCCTTCTTCTGGCTCTGCTTTGAGAGCTGGAGCTTCGCCTTCGCGAGCTGGAACTGCTCCTTCGACGCTTCCGACGGCTTCGCGTGCTACTGCTGCTCCGTCTGACGCGTCTGCTCCGACTTTTTGGTTCTTTCTCTTTGGACTCCTTCTGAGGTCTTTGTTCCTTCTCTTTGCCTGTTTTGACGCCCTTTTCATTCTTTTCACGGCTTCCCAAAACTCGGCTCTTTTCAGCAGCCATGAGCTTTCGCACTGTCGCTTCATCCATGAGCTGTTCAGATTTGCCATCTGATGATGCAAATCGACTGCTCAAATCCGCATCAGTGTAGCCGAGCACTTTAACCTGGCGTTTTTTGTCCACCACTCCATCTACACCAGGGCCCGTATTACCCATGACTGGCTCGCGGCTGTATATGCAATGGCCGATGTTGTAGCCTTTCCGCAGGCTATCAAGCCTAGGTTGGAACACCGTGATGCCATGGACAATTGGCCGTTGCGCGACACGCATACTCACACACATAAACATCATACCAACAAAATCAAGGACTTGCATTTTTCCATTTTCCTGCACATGTCCTGGTGCCTGTTGCTGTGTCTGTGATCCCCCTATTGATGCTGATTGTGTGCATTTTCTGGAAACAGTACATCGGATTTGACAACGCCTATGCTGCCAATGGCGGCCGCGACAACACCGCAGCAGCACTGACGCTTGTCACGCCGACGGCTGTGTGAGAACGAAATTGGACGGTTGTGTGAAAACATGCACATATCTAGATATATTATATATATATACTCTATATCTATATACTCTATAATAATATATATATATAAATGCTCTATATCTATATACTCTATAAATATATATATATATAAATATACTCTAGATATATATATATATAACTTTGTGTGCATGTGCGTGTGCGTGTGTGTGTGCGTGTGCGTGTGTGTGTGTGTGCGCGCGTCTGTAAACATATGCTGTCTTTACAACTAGGCGACCTACGACCTACGACCTACGACCTACGACCTACGACCTACGACCTACGACCTACTACGACCTACGACCTACGACCTACGACCTACCACCACCACCACCACGACTACTGCTACTACTACTACTACTACAAGAAGAACAGGAACAGGAACCAGAACAAGAACAGCCGCCACCACCACCACCATCACCAGGACGATGACCAGGACCCGACTCCTGTTGTCCTACTCCAACTCCCGCTGCTACTTCTATTACTACGCCGTGCTTTGGTGGTGCGTTCTCGAAAACGCGACGTGGACTGTTGGCTAGCACATTACCAAATCACAAACAATGGTTTGCTGTCCTCACCGTCATCCAAGGCACTTCATGCTGATTAATGCGGAAGGTTTGTTCGAGGCTGTCAAATGCTCATCCAACAAAACAATGTCCTGCACGAAAGCCACTCCGGAGCTTCTCTTGGATGCAAGCATATCAGGGGTACATGGAGGTCCTACTGTGCCAAGTCGAAAACGGCGTCACAGTCCTTTTCGACATCTTTGCCCATTGCCTCTCTCATCGACATGGCCTAGAAAGGGTTTAGAGATGCTCGTCGCTATCACAAAGCCACGCGAGTAAAGCTTGCATTGTCAAGCGAATCTACACACTGGCTATTCAACCTAGACCCTGGAGTACTTTTTTAGGATGTAGACCTTAGAGGGCAATTGCGGATACTTTTAGCGGAAAAAATAGCACTTGAAGGGTCGCAATGTTGAAAAATGTTTTAGCACAGACCCTCAACCGCTTTGCAAGACGTGATCGAGGCAAGATAAGCCCTACTACATTAACAAAGGACGTGTCATGGAGGAAACTCCGAGCTACAGAAAGATCAGTGTGTCCAGTAGGCAGCTGCGTTAAGAGATCAGTAAGTCACATTCTCACTGCCCCAAAATTCATTGTGTCCAGCGGGCATGTGCCTGAAGTAGAGCAGTAGCTGCTCAAAAGATCATTCAGTCCAGTTGAGCTCAAAAGATCATTAAGTCCAGTTGGCATGTGCCTGAAGTAGAGGAGTAGCTCCAAAAATCATTGAATCTAGTTGGCAGGTACCAGAAATAGAGAAGCAGCTCAAAAAATCATTGAATCTAAGGATCATTAAATTTTGTTGGAATGTGCCTGAAGTAGAGAAGTCGCCAAAAGATCAGTTCTGGCAGATCGCACTGGAATTGCTACATCAAGGCTGAGATTTGACTGTTACGATTTGCAAGAAACATTGTTTTTTCGGGTAAACGACGTTCTGTTGTGGAGAAAGGTTGCCTGGCTTGCTCGAACTGCGTTGGCATTGGAAGTGAGGCTTCCAGGTGGCTTTTCGTTTCTCTGTTGATGCTGTGCTATGGTAGTTTGTGGCTGTTGAAGGACCTTGTGCGTTGGAACTGCTGCGGCAAGGTTGCCAATTTAGTGCTTTGGCAGCAGAGTCGTCTCCATTTTGGCGCTGATGACCTCCTTTTAAAATTCCTTTTACAAAATACTCACAAATCGTCTTTTTCCGCTTCGGCGTCAAAATCCGGTTTTGGAGCTGCAGTTTCTGTTGCCGCTGCGCGTAATTTTATCGTGCTTTGCAAGTGTGAGAGCTTCTCCGCGTAAAAGCTTCTCTGTGTAAAAGCTTGCTCTGTGTAAAAGCTTGTCCGTGTGCAAGCTTCTCTGTAAAAGCAGAAGGGTTGAGAAGAGGTGAGAAGAGGTGGGCAGAGGTGAGAGTCGTTGAGAAGAGTTGAGAAGAGGTGGGAAAAGGTGAAAAGAGTTGAGCTGAGGTGGGAAGAGACGAAAAAACTTGAGAGCTGTTGAGAAGAGTTGTGAGAAGAATTGAGAAGAGCCGCGGTAGTCTGAGCTGAGAAGTGGTGGCCACAGTTGAAAAGGGGTGATGCAAGATGAGGACGAATTCACAGAACAGAGTTGAAAAGATGTGAGGCTTCGAGCTGCAGCTCCTATATGCATTTTTTTCCTTCAGTCCTATGGTGTAACATTTCTTGCTGCTGGAAACTTCCGCCACCCGCCTCGTGTGGGTTTTACTTGTACACCATGTCAAGGTGTATGTTCACCATCTTATTGGGAATTGTTGTGGATGCATTGGCCTTGTCATAGATCTATGTTAGCCACATGGATTCGCCCCTTGTTCAGCATGACAAACCATGTCGTTTGCCGTCTTCGGCAAGGTTCTCAAATTTTGGTGCAAAGTCTAAGGAATTCTACTTTGGAGATTTCGGTAGACAAGCTTCCCAAGCTACCTACAGGGTCCATGTTGAGAGGATCCAAACATCACAACCCTAAGCGTTTTCTGCAAAGCCTGCCAAAGCTCAGAAGGGCTTATGCCTGATCCTTGCTAGATCTTACCTGGTCCAAACAAACCATTTATAACATAGACCAGAACCGTTCCCATCCTCCGATTTAATCTAGACCTTGAGCAAGGCATGGTGATGAAAGCATAATCTCTGTTGTAGCAAACCGCATCTCACATAGACCCTGAAAATACCATGAGCATCCGTGAGCAAAGGGTCTATCTTTCTTCCCGAAATTGTCTCTATGGGGGCCAACTGTAGTTTCTAAAAACATCGACACCAAATCGTGTTAACTCATCTTGAAGCCCTCGTACACATAGGCAGGAATAAAGAATTCAAAGGGGCTGGGGAAAGAGGGCAAACGCCACCAGCTACCAAGAAGACTTGAAAAATTCAAACTGTAGGAGGGGTGCTGGGGCTGGAATGACCAACTCATTAGGAATTCGGAAACCTTTGTCATTTCACTCGTACATAGCCTTCTGACTTTTCAGCAAGCCTGACTGTAAATTGAACAGTGGGAGGAATTTGTGAGCTGAACCCATGCACCCCAGGCAAAGTCATTTGGAAAGTGGACCTCACCTCTTCCAGCTTTGTCGCGGCTCCCTTGTCGAGCTTGTGCCTGAGACCCCCAGCACATGTCTGGGGATTCCCTCTCGATTGAATTTCGACCGATTCCTCGCAAACGACACACACAACTAGACGACGGATGGCCCGAGAGCGCGAAGGGACATGATTTCTCAGGTGTATGCCTCTTACGATGAATAGACTAAATGTAAATGTGTAACAAATATGTAAGACATAGGTAGGAAGATATATTCAGAAGGATGGAAGATGTAGCACATGATGCACAGAAAGATGAAAGATGTAAGAGGTCAAGATGTCAAAATGTGAGATGTGTAGGTGTAAGATCCGAAGATGTAAGATGTTTCTATGTAAGAGGTGCAGCTGTGACATGCAACAATAGGTATCAACCCACCACTCAGCATTAGTGGGCCGAGGCGTTTGACCTTGAAAGCTGCCGTTTACAAACTCAGTACCAGCAAAATATTGTCCGTGTGTCACCTGCAGAAGCACGGTCAAACCGCACTGTGTGAGCACGATGTGAAGCGTCACAACTTGCATGAGGTGAGTCTCCGACCCATCCGTTTAACTTGCTCACTTCTGTCGCATGCACAGACGGGGGTGGAGGGAGAGGGAGAGGGAAAGGGAGAGGGAAAGGGAGAGGGAGAGGGAAAGGGAGAGGGAGAGGGAGAGGGAGAGGGGGGAGAGAGAGAGAGAGAAGGAGAGACAGAGAGAGAGAGAGAGAAGAGAGAAGAGAGAGAGAAGGAGAGAAGGAGAGAAGGAGAGAAGGAGAGAAGGAGAGAAGGAGAGAAGGAGAGAAGGAGAGAAGGAGAGAAGGAGAGAAGGAGAGAAGGAGAGAAGGAGAGAAGGAGAGAAGGAGAGAAGGAGAGAAGGAGAGAAGGAGAGAAGGAAAGAAGGAAAGAAGGAGAGAAGGAGAGAAGGAGAGAAGGAGAGAAGGAGAGAAGGAGAGAAGGAGAGAAGGAGAGAAGGAGAGAAGGAGAGAAGGAGAGATGGAGAGATGGAGAGATGGAGAGATGGAGAGAGAAAGAGAAGGGGGGGAGAGAAAGAGAAGGGGTGGAGAGAAAGAGGGGGGGGAGAGAAAGAGAATGGGGGGAGAGAAAGAGAAGGGGGGGAGAGAAAGAGAAGGGGGAGGGAGAGAGAGAGAGAGAGAGAGAAAGAAGGAAAGAGAGAGAAGGAAAGAGAGAGAAGGAAAAAGAGAAAAGGAAAGAGAGAGAAGAGAGGAGCAAGATGTGATGATGTGAGGGTGCCAGGATGTACGATGTGAAGATGTGAAGATGCAAGATGTCATGTGCAGGCGCCAGATGTGCAGATGTAAGTTGTGAGGATGTAGTATGATGTGAAGATGTAAGATGCAGATGCAGATGCAAATGTATATAAGATGTGAAGATGTAAGACAGATGTAAGACAAATGTAGGGCAAGTGTAAGACAAATGTAAAACAACTGGAAGACGGATGTACGATGTGCAAATGTTTACAGCGAAGATGTCTACAATGAAGATGATTACAATGAAGATGTACATCTCACCCCGTTTTTTTGAAGAACCCTTCGCTCAACCGCTCTCGGGAATGACAAGAAAGTGTCTGCATGCATCAAGAGACATGCGGTCTCAGAGTCATGCCTATTTCGGATGCATGTTCAAAGACAACAATGATAAGCATGAGGACCCGTCAGTCTGGTGAACAGCCGGACAAACAGTACTTGATGAAGGGTTACCTCCGCCGCAACTATTAGCTCCTCTGACATGAAACACCAAAAAATATCCATGTTTCATATGGATATAAAATGATATTTCCTACTTATCGTGTCCAAAAGAATAGCTTCACTGCAATCTTCGAGCTTACCAAATGGTCAGTCAAGGAAGGGAGGTCCTTCGAAAATGTCCAAAGCCTCCATAATCTCCACATAAATTGACAAGAAGAAAGATGAAAAAAGAATCTCGATCTTCAAGGATCTGCCTTCTTGCAAGATCCCGGACTCTCGGACCACACTTGGCCTCCCAGTATTTCCATGACATGTACGGCAAAGTTCACGACAACTGGAGCAATAGCTTGTAACAGCTCCAGCATAGCACCTTTCCAACAAAGGTGCCCTTCTGCATGTCTTTCACTTTCAAGTTGAGCATTGCCGCTGGGGTGTGAGCGTCCTACGAATGAAACCCACAGAGCCATGCTGACCCGAAGGCCTGCAATCAGACACCTGTGACATTTGAGACATCCGTGACATCTGTCCTTTAGAATTTCATAAAGTCGCTCCAGATCTTGCTCCCACGTATTCATCCTGCGGCAGCATATTGACATGTATTGGCTGCTGAAATGCTGCTCTGACGTGGGCTGTGCTCTGGCTTGTGAGGCTGAAAGTCACACGCTCCGCACTATGCCTCTTCTCGATCATGATGTCGTTCAGTTTCTGCGTCAGGCCGGCATCGATTTTGAACGTGTACGCAAGCTGTTGGATATCTGGATCCTTGGGGCATGAGCTCAAGGATCTTCAGTGCAACGGCACATCAAGAATTGCCACGCCAAAAGCATCAATCCTTAGCCATCGCCAAAATGGCAAGTTCGCCTGATCCCGCCAAGTGTCAAGATCATGGTGCTTTGGTTCCATCTCCGGTTCTGAGGAAGAATCATACTTGTCGCGCTCCTTACCTTGCCTGGGTTCCTGCGCAGCAATGGGTCCCTTACAAACAAAATCTAACGATTCAATGCAAACATATCCTACTTGAGGGAAATAAACCAAAGGAACCTTCAGCACCCAGAAGGCCTTGGAAGTCCGTCTGCAGACTATGAAGATCGTTCGTTTTATATCGTTTTATAATATTTCGCCGCTGATTGTGGCGCCTCTGCGGCGACAGGCGGGGCCTGTTGCATCTCATCATTCTGTTTATTCTTCTTTCGACCTCAGACCAAGCCGCAATGTCTTCTTTGCCGAACACCCATCTGATGTTTTGATGTCAGTCGTAAAGACGCAACCAAAAATGGATGAGATCAAAAGCTGCGTCCAATGACCCATCTTTCCATCAACAAGGATGGAGCAGCGCTAGGCACAGCCTCAGTATATGGAAAGGCTCCTTCTACCAGCAAGCTTGATGGGCACAAACTGGCACAACTACTTACTTGATTTGCGATTGTTTTTCTGCACGATATATGACAGCAGGACATGTTGCGGGTCTCGGGGTCTAGCACTACAGTTGTTCTCCACTGGCAGCAACTCGAACCAAACACTGCGTCAAGGATTCACCAGAAACTGACTGGGATAGAAAAAACATATCAGTGCGGGCTTCTCAATGCATCATGACGGGAGGTGTGCGTTTGATGTCAAGGTTCCTCTGTGAAATACCTTTAAAAATGTCACGGACCCATTCTTCTATCATGTTTTTCACCAGGCCAAGGTCAAAGCTTCATCGACCATTTTAGGCCTTGCTGTCACACAAAGTGTTACATCCCCAGGACACCGAGACCTTCAAATTTTGGAAGCTGCGCGCGAAATAAGTGAGGTCGTTGTTCAACGAAGCCTGCCAGGAGAAGGCTGTCAAGTTGATCGTCAAGTTGAAGGGCCGAAGCTTCGCAGAGGCTTGTTGCTTCCAGGCATGAAGCTCCATCCAACTTCCAGGTGCCAAGAGCTACAAGGGAACTCAAATCCCAAGCTTCGACCTGGCCAGGAAGTAAAGCCCAGAGCCGAACACCATTTGCATTCTGTGCCATGTGCAAAGCAGTGAGGTCGGTGAGACCTTCAAGTGGAGCATCTACTCTTGGAGTGATCACGGCGACCAACTCAGAGTTTGCCGGAATTTCCAAGGCCACAAGCGGCAGGTGCTCCCCATCCCATCCTGCAAACACATAGCAAGTCCTGTTGCTCTGGAAGCCAAGTAGCAGCTGGACAGTGGCACAAGGAAGTTGAAGGCCTGCCATTTTCAGCCACGGCTGGCCTTGAATCTCCAAGTGCAAAGTGTGTGGATCTTGGTATCTCTTGTTTACCTCTTCGCCATGTGCCATCAGAGTCCCTTGTCTGACTGAGAGCACTCTCCCGCCATCTTCAAGTTGTGCTTTGGTACAACCTAAGGGGCTGCATCCCAAGAGATTGTCCCCTGCTGCAAAAGAACTGGACGAGACAGGACTGAGCTTTGCGGCACTGGCATCAAAACGCAGCTGGTACTGTGCATAAGGAGTTTCCATGATGATTTTGGAGTTCCCGGATTCCATTCCACAAGAGAGAGCCGTTGGACGGAAAAAGCTGTGAGGCCACAGGATGGGAAGATCAGTCAAAATGAGGGACTCTTTACGAGCAACACTGGTCAGGCGCCGCTCAAATCTCAACTGTCCCCCAACGCCCAAGCTGCTCAAAAGAGACTGAATGCCGAGAAAAATCCAACACACCTGCAATACTGCCGTCATTCTTCTTACAGACTTCCATGGCAAACGGTGATGGCCAGCCCGCTTGCGAGACTTGAAAATGAAGGGCCTGGATTCTGGCTCGTGCTCACTGACGCCAATGGCTTCCAAATCGCCACGTTCAGTCTTCAGCAACGAAGTCACTTCATGCTCAACATTCTGCACACGGTTCACCACCTCAGTCATATCGAGTACCTTTGTGCCTGGTGCTAAAGTCCAAACTGCGATGTTTCGCATCAAGTCATAGTACTGAGTTGATCCATCTGCTCTTCGCTGCAACGGCCCAATCACCGCAGAGTAGAACTCGTTCTGCTGCTGTTCCAAAGGTGTGAGTTCTTCCCACGTTCTCAAGGCACGAGCATCTTGCTGAATAGGATCATAGGGCACTCCTCGTCTGCTCTTCATCTTGGAAAGGCAGCCATGGTAACGGTGACGCCAGTCATTGAATTCTTGCCTCAAGCTTTGAAGTTGGGACACCTGAATTCTTGTAAGCAAGTCTTGAGGAACAGCCTCCCAGCATCTCAAAGCAGATTGTGCGCCCTCCATGGCAAAAATGGAGAGGGCTGCCTGTGTCTGCTGGATCTCACGCCTATTCACATCGCCTGCTTGCTCGTCAAGCTTTCCATCCACTCCTGCTGTAACGGTTGCATGCTCTGCCTCAGTGGGATCATAGGCTGCATCACCGAAGACATCAAGGAAAAGAACAGTTCTGAAGCGTCGCGGCAAAGAGGCCTCATCTTTGGTCGGCCTGGCAGTCTGCATGAAAAGCTCCAACCACAATGCTTCCAGGAAAGGACAAGCTGGCGATGCATAGAATGCAGTACAAAGGACATCAATTGGTTCGCTGGATTGACGGCCTTGGTTTGCAATCGTCAACATGATCACAAGGATCACCATAGGTAGCGACCCAACGATTTGCAAGGCCATGATCTGCGAAGTCTTGAGCCCGGCAATGTCCAGAAACATCAGCCCAAACGCACACGACTGAAATATCACAGTTGCTGCATAGCCACAACTCGGGGAGCATGTCTGGATCATTGTCACCCCTACCACAAAGTAATTCACAGATTGGATCATCTGGTTCACGCCTAGTGCCATTGAAACTCGAGCGTAGGCATCATAGCACTGCCACTTTGCTTGCAACTTTCTAAAGAGCTCCACATGTTTGCCTGGAACACTTGCAGCTGCTTTCATCAAAAGATCTTCTCTTCCAAACCCAAGGTCTCCTTGTTCTCCCAACCGTGTCTCGGGCAAGGCATTGGGTTTTCCCCCAACATCTGCAATTGCTGTGCTTGCTGCGCTTTCAGTTGCCGAACTTGCCTCGTTCCTCTGTGCCTCTAATTGCCATGTTTGCGCCCCTGTGGGTCCGAATGGAAGCCGCATCACTTTTGAAAGGCCTTGCTTTTCGAAGTCTGACAGCTTTGTTGTCAGGCTTTGGATTTGGGACAAGTTAGGGATTGGCAGTCTCACATATCTTGTCCTTAGCCTTACTCCAAAGCTGTGGGAAGCAATTGAAGCATACATGCTGAGCCAAACTGCTAGAAGCAAATAGACAAAAGAGGCTGCCACTGTGAGCAAGTAAAGACCCATGAAGAACGGTGGCTGCGGGCCTTCAATGATTCCCTCACAATAGACCAATGCGGTGAAACTCAAGAATAAAGCACCAACGATGTGGTACATATCCATCTTGTCCACTGTTAGCTTCACCAAGTCTTCAATGTCTTCTCTGAAAAGGTCAAACCTATTGATCTGCATCTCCACTCTCTGCATATCCCTCTCAAGCCGCTGTTCCTGGTCAAATTTGTAATTCTCACGATTGTAGTCGAACAGCTCCTTCGAGGCAAGACCAAAGGCTTCAAGCACCACCATGGCGAACTACCCGAACTTTGGCGATGTCGCCGATGTCGCCGATGTCGTGCTCTGCCGGATCTGAGTTGGAGATGATCTAGACGAAGAAGACGAGGAAGAGTCAAAGCGGCGCCAGTAGCACACAAACAAAGCTGCGCCTAAAAAGACTAAGTCCAGAGTATGTTGATCTCCGCTGAAGTACTTCCAAGTATCCGTGTGTTGATGTGCGTAAGATATGTATGTATGTAACCTGTATGTTTATGTTGTATATGCATCGCCGGTGTGAAGAAGTGAAAAAAACTGATGGTTTGAGCTGATCAAACTGGTGCTCTGCTTCATGTGTGGCCACCAGCAACTGCATAGCTGAGACTGAGTCGGCCGTGATCTTTCCATGAATGAAATGCGCAACAATGTTTGCTTCCATTCAGGGTTCAAATCATCATGTTGCAAAACAGTTCTCACTTCAAATGTTCCAGGGCACTCCGAAGCAACAAGCAACATGTCGGACTTTTTGTGGTCATTCTTAATTGGGCCAGAGGGCATCAGGCATTCACCTTGCAACACCCTCCTGTACAATTGCCCTGACTTCTCCTGGGTCTTGCACCCCCCCACCTAATCCAGGGAATCATCACTGGATTCATGATCCTCCTCTTCTCCTGCCAAATGCATCCAAATGCAGGATCACCGTTTAAAGAATTACATGTGCGTTTCGCAGATCTTCAAGTGCCACGGCAGAGTAGCTAGCAGACCTTCTTCTTCCTCTTCATGATCGTAGACGTCGCTAGCATCATCCATGGGATCATCGTCAACATTTGTAATTGTACCTTTGTCCGTGTCCCACTTGGTTTGCAAGCACCCAAACTACTTTTGAGACATTCAACTGACATCCGCAAGTAGTACCTTCAAACTTTCTATCTTCAATACAAGTGACTGGAGTCCTGACAGTGGAGAGAGACAGGCGACGTATTAAAAATTACTTCAAGTCGGTCAAAAACATTCAAAAACAACATAAACTGGATGGCACTGGATAGCGCTATGCAGAATGCTTGGAAGTTTTGCGTCCTCTGATTCAGCATCATCGGGAGGAGTTGGCGCCGGTGGCGGTGTGGCGGTGGACACACGGGACCCGCTAGACCCACTGGACTTACCTAAGAGTCAGGTTGAAAAACTTTGAAGGGAGAGCTTGTCAGCGTAGCTTTGCTTTCAAACAGTTGCAACAGCTGGGCTTTTTGCGTCGTAGCCATCCTCTCCTGCAAACAAGTGGCCCAACCTCCATCTCAGCTCGCCACGAACTTGGATTCTAGCTTCACAACCTTAGTCAGCAGTGGAGTACAGGGTCCCTGGCCGCTAGACTAGGTCGACAATCACAACCCGGTGTCTCAGGTCCGCTCTCTCCCATTGAAGAAGTCACTGAATTCTGCCAGGAAGCGAGCACAGGGCTGCATGCCGCAACCGTTCAAGTGATTCAACAAACCTTTCTCTGCAAGTGACAAAGGAGTACGCCCATCAAGATCGGCAACATCCTTGGCCAACAGATGTCTCTCTCTCTCTCTCTCCATTGCCAGCGCGCTTCTCGCCCCCTTTTTCCATGCTTTCCCATTTCTGTGTGTGTGTGTCATCCTTTCTGCTCGTCTCCTGGATGTTTTGCACTCGTGGTATGGACCTGTGCCCCACGGTCGCATCTGTGTCCGCCAGCATGGTGCTGTGGCAGTTTGTTGTGTCTTCCCCTTGCCTGAGGAATTGCTTGACAGGCCACACACCGGCGATCAGTACCGACAGGACAATGTATGCAAGAAAAATTATCGACAAAGGAAAGCTGCACAGAGACTGCCGAGACAAATGCATTACCCCCAGTCGAACACAAATCTACATTACTCATTCTTGACCGGAGGCCAGCCCATCAACATGGACCAGCAAACCAGATTGAGGCACACATCTAAGACAAAGATGCCTAAAGCATCTTAAAGCTGCATAGTGATAGTTGAGGATGCCGCAGCCACATCAAAGTTTGAATACCAATGGAAGAATGTCGAGAGCAAAAGGTTTCCACTAGCATAAGGTAGGCAAGGGAGACCAGGTGGACACTAAGAGATACTAAGAGTAGATTGGAGTGTGCATATAGAATTATAGAGAGATTTATATTTATATACTTCTTGTTTCTGCCCCTGAGTTTCTGATGTTTCTGGTCAACTCAGGGGCAGAAACAAGAAGTTCATA